ATTCTCTCTATTGGAATGAACAGGGACATCTGACAGAGCAGAATATTCCTGTTTTGGACTTCAAATGACCTGACAGGTGGTGGTGAGAGATCCATTCATATCTTCTACAATTTTACTCTCCAGTCCTCCAGATATACAGATATGTGGTATTATTGTTGTAGTTAATGCTTAAATCAAATCATTAATTTATTGTTATTTATTACTTTTGGTACCTATAGGTCTCTTGTGGTTGACCATACCTCATACCCCATAACCACAGCTGTATTCTCCTAACAGTCAAGTCACTTGCCACTAAAACAATGTTAGTTCCTATAGGTCTCAGGTGGTTGGCCATACCTCATACCCCTATAACTAGAGCTGTAATCTCCTAGACATCAATTAACTTGCCACTAAAACAATGTTGGTACCTATAGGTGTCATGTGGTTGACCATACCTCACAGCCCTATAACTAGAGCTGTATTCTTCTAGATGTCAAGTCACCTGCCACTAAACCAATGCTGGTACCTATAGGTCTCATGTGATTGACCATACCTCACAGCCCTATAACTAGAGCTGTATTCTTCTAGATGTCAAGTCACCTGCCACTAAACCAATGCTGGTACCTATAGGTCTCATGTGATTGACCATACCTCATAGCCCTATAACTAGTTCTGTATTCTCCTAGACATCAAGTCACTTGCCACTAAAACAATGTTGGTACCTATAGGTGTCATGTGGTTGACCATACCTCACAGCCCTATAACTAGAGCTGTATTCTTCTAGATGTCAAGTCACCTGCCACTAAACCAATGCTGGTACCTATAGGTCTCATGTGATTGACCATACCTCATAGCCCTATAACTAGTACTGTATTCTCCTAGACATCAAGTCACTTGCCACTAAAACAATGTTGGTACCTATAGGTCTCATGTGATTGACCATACCTCATAGCCCTATAACTAGTACTGTATTCTCCTAGACATCAAGTCACTTGCCACTAAAACAATGTTGGTACCTATAGGTCTCATGTGGTTGGCGATACCTCACAGCCCTATAACTAGAGCTGTATTCTCCTAGACTTCGTCACTTGCCACTAAAACAATGTTGGCTCCTATAGGTCTCGTGTGGTTGAACATACCTCACAGCCCTATAACTAGAGCTGTATTCTCCTAGACGTCAAGTCACTTGCCACTAAAACAATGTTGGTTACTATAGGTCTGATGTGGTTGACCATTCCTCAGAGCCCTCTAACTAGAGCTGTATTCTCCTAGACTCCGTCACTTGCCACTAAAACAATGTTGGTTCCTATAGGTCTCGTGTGGTTGAACATACCTCACAGCCCTATAACTAGAGCTGTATTCTCCTAGACGTCAAGTCACTTGCCACTAAAACAATGTTGGTTACTATAGGTCTGATGTGGTTGTCCATTCCTATAGGTCTCATGTGGTTGGCCGTACCTCACAGCCCTATAACTAGAGCTGTATTCTTCTAGCAGTCAAGATTTTGCCACTAAAACAATATTGGTACCTATAGGTCTCATGTGGTTGAATATACCTCACTGCCCTATAACCAGAGCTGTATTCTCCTAGACGTCAAGTCACTTGCCACTAAAACAATGTTGGTTCCTATAGGTCTCATGTGGTTGACCATTCCTCACAGCCCTATAACCAGAGCTGTATTCTCCTGGCAGTCAAGTCACTTGCTACTAAAACAATGTTGGTACCTATATATCTCAGGTGGTTGGCCACACCTCATGGCTCTTTAACCAGAGCTGTATTCTCCTAGAATTTAAATAGAAAATGTTCCTGAAAATAACTGTTTGCATCCAAAAGATGCTTCTGATTTTGATCTTAAGTAGAAGAAGTCATGTGGAGCAACTCTGAATTTGTAAAGATTAAATTTATTAATTTCTAGTAAATAATCAAATAGATTGATGGCTATGGGAATCAGTGGATTTATAGTTCCACACAAAATCATACCAGTTCCACTGTTTGCTTGGCTGGCTCCCAAATTTGCAATATCTTATTTATCCCTACCCTTGAGGTGGTGAGTTTTTTAAATGATTTATTCTTATGTAAAGCAGTCATAATGCAGGGGTTAAAATAATCTGAAAAACAACTGAAAAAAAGATATCAAAATAAAAATGATTAATCGATAATAATTATCACCATTAGACTAATTGTGTCTAACCCTGGCCTGAGACAGGCAAATGTTTCCCTAAGATGGTAAACATCTGTAGGATGGGGTACCAATGTGACCTTTTATCGTGACCCTTCAGGCAAACAGAAGCAGTGCACAAATTCCAAACACCTTCTCTTGCTTTCCATGATTAATAGTGGGCATTTCCATAATTGGAAGAGCTGGCTGTGACCTTTGAGGCTTACCCATAAAATCCATGCCTGAATGTAGCAGTGGGCCACAAAGTTTACTTGGGATTGGACCTTTTACAGCCATTAAAGGAGAACTATGAGATGAGTGATTTCCACTCACCTCATAGTTCTAGCCGACCTGTGACAATGAGACTGTCACAGGTCAGCTCAGTAGATCGGGAGGTGAGCGTACACATACCGGGTTCGCTCACCTCTCGATCCTGTCACGGCTCTCTGCCGTGACAGCTGGAGGGGCTGGATTCCCCTCTCCCCGCTCTGATCTGCCAGCGCTGACTGGCGGAACAATCGTGGGAGGGTATAGCTGGCTCTGCCTCTAGATAGGCACAGCCAGCTGTCACTCACGCAGCTGGGCGGATCTCAACGTCGATGTCGGGATCCGCTCCGGCGTCTCAGTATACCGCGAGCTGTAGCTCGCGGTATACTGAGCTTAGGGTAACAGGAGGACGCTAGTTTGTGTCCTCCCGTTACCCTAAGGAGAACTATGGGGAAAAACACTGACCCCATAGTTCTCCTTTAAGAGTTTTTGAAGTTACTATTGCGTTCAGGAGCTAGAAAATATAGCAGCCAACCACTATTTTAAAGCTGAACTGAACATTCAGTTTAACCATTTTGCTGTCAGAGCCACTTTTGCATTTTTTGCACGCATGCTTTAGCGCACATTTTAGGACTGAAGGTTAGTTAAACCCCCCAGAATGATATATTTTGGAGATGCTGGAGAATAAATTGGTGGCAGTTGCAATTTTTAAAGTCAAATTATTTTCAGTGCACACAAACACAATATAATATAATACCCAATTTTTGGTAAAATATAAAAGATGAGGTTGCATGAAGTAAATAAATGCCAAACATGTCCAGTGTTAAAATTGTAAGTGCTTGTGAAACAGCTCTTCGGTACCCAAAATTGTCCCTAAGCATTTTTTTAAAAACCCTTTAACGGTCATCAGTTTAGACTTTGCTGTAAATAATGGCCCTAGAATTATTGGTCTAATTCCGGCGTGTGCAGCGATATGTAGCATGTGTGGCACAATTGGGTTTTTGCAGGTAGGTGTACCCAACATACGCATTTAGGTACGAATGTGCGTGTACGTGGGGGAGGGGGGGCTTAAAAAATATTGGGTTTTTAGATGTTATTTTCATTTTTTTACTTTTTAATTTAACTTTATTGCTATCACATAGTAGGGTAAAACAGCCCCCTATGTGAAAGCACATTATAGGCAACGGATTCTCTTTAAGGAATCCCTATTAGACCCCTGATGTCACCTTTATACTCCGTATTCAGATCGTGCTTGATCACCTTCTTCCCTGACCTCTGTGACCAGGAAATAACAACCCAGAAGTGATGGATTCATTGTTGCTTCTGGATTCATTCACAGGAGAGTAGATCAGCATATGGAGGTTTGCTGGTCCGCCCATGCTCTTGCCATCAACAGCTTCCATGGCTGTCCTGGGCCCGCTGGAGGGGCAGCAGAGCCGAGGATACATGATGGGGGGGCACACCTTCCTAAGCCCGCGGAAACTGATTGGGACGGTGTACAACTCCAACACAAAGCCAACAGTTGGCTTGTATGGGCTGAACACATTCCCAGCTGTGTTTAAAAGCCTGTGCTGCCCCCAACATAAGCCTTACATCAGTGGCAGTAAAAAGGTTAAATCAGTTAATGAAATTTCAGATCCATAGTGTGGAGCCTGCTGTGTTGTAGAGTTCTTTCTGCTTAATGCAAGAGAAAGGTTTATAATTGAGGTGAGATGACAGGTTGTTCACAGGATTTTGTCAGGTGACTGGGTACTCTTCCCCCCTAAGTTATTTTAATTGTGCTTTGCTTGCTTGCATCACTGTGCTTTATAAATGTGCCATTTTTAACCGCTTCAGGACCGCAATATGTATATAAACGGTGGTAACCTGAAGTGGTTATGCCAACATCATGGGTGCTGCAGAAGCTGTGATCTTGGTATCATTTTTTACAGCCAATGTCTGGCTTTAACATTCAAGGTTTTGGGCAGCTATAGAGCTGCCTGATCACTTGTATGGAGCTGGGGAGTGTGTGCCCCCCCCCCCCCTTCGCTGCTGGCTATCGCTGTCCCCAGTGTGGCCCAGGACAGGCACAGCGGGTCTGCTTAGTTTGAGCGGAGGGAGCTCAGCACACTTCCAGCGGCTGATCTCCCCTCCGATCACTGAAAACGTGTATTTTATCACTTCCAGTTTCAGTGTGTGGCTGGAGAAGAAGCTGGCGAAGCAGCTTCATCAGCTTCTTTGGGTTCTATAGGTGACATTAGGGGGTCTAATAGGTAGCA